GGTGTGTGAGATCGAGAAGATCGTCGCCGACGATGATGGCCAGAGTGGCGGCTGGGAAGTGCGGCGTTTCCGGGTTGATTGGGTCCGAGATGGACGTGTTGGTGGTGGCCGAACCTGGTGAGATTGGGTCCGGGCATGGGTTGCCGACGGACTGGAGGTCGCGGGGCGGCGGTGAGGGGAACAGGTGGTCAGGGGTTTGCCGCAAGATGGGTGGAGGAGGGGGGGGGTGGAGGGGTGTGGAGGTTCGTGGGACCAAGGTGAGTGGGAGGAGTGGGTGGAAATGAGGGGCGGGGGATTGGTGTGCGTCTGTGCCCGAGGACCTCGATCGAGGTCGCAAAGCTAAGGCTTGTCGGGGCACTGAAATCTGGAGAGGTCCAGAGGTGGTCGGTGTCGGCGAAGTGACGGTGCCGGAAGCAGGCGCAGTGTCTGTCGATGTTGGAGGTGGCTCTGTCAACGGTGCACCGCAGGCAATCTCGGTCTCTGGAGCTGGTGGGGGTTCTGCTGGTGCCGGCAATGGTGCTTCTTTCGCTTCATCCGCACTGTAGTCCGGAGGGTCAGTCTGGTTTCGATCACGAGATCGAGAAGATTCGCGTTCACGGCGTCGTGGACGATGACGATGTTGAGATTCATGTGAGGAGCTGTCCATCATGGCAAAGATCCAAAAACTATCGAAGAAGAGTAAGAAAACCGAGACGGGAACCATAAAACGGAAAATAAACCATAAAATGAAAGTCGTGATGGCAGGAGAATCATGGATGTCAACAAAAAACTGGGTGGAGAATCATGGATGTCAACGTAGAAATTGGGTGGGTCAAGCTGGAGCCACGTAAACGAGGTGGAGTAGAGTGGTAAATGCAAACGTGTAACAATCACATGAATCCGAAATGTGAGAAAGAGCAAATTAATCAGAAATTCTTTTCGGATCAATACCGAGTGGAAGAAGGTGGTGAAACGAACGGTCTACCGCGGGCCGCGCGGGTTCAGGCGAGAACGAGAGCGGGAACGAGATCGGGTCGAAGTGTCTCTGGGCGCAGGACCATGACGTGAGTTGCCACCCGTGGTGCCGCCGGATCGTGTAATGGAGGGAGTAGTGGTGGGAGGCGGGGAGTGGGGATGGGCGTCCAATCGATGGTAGGTGCGAGCCTCAAGAACGACAACGCCGCCGGTGGATGTAGTCGTCGAAGGAGGGAGGTCTGCAAAGGGTGGGCGATCTGCAAAGGTTGTGCGTCCACGTAATTCTTCTTCAAGCTGTTCAGGACTATGATGGAGGCGAGTCCAGACCTTGTAGTTGTCCTCGAAGTTGTGGGCAGGTAACCCGAGCAAGAAAAGGGATGGAGCGGATCGCAAGGGGTTGACGCAAAAGCGTCTGAACCAAGGCCAAAGAGGCGTGTACATGAAATAATTCACGATGTAGGACGGCCTGTGCCACCAGTGAGATGCCCTCCGTCGGCGCCAAGCCACAAGGGGATTGGGGCATGCCAAGAGGGTCGGCAGGAGGGGCAGGTGGGTGACTCATGGCGATGGGATCAAGGTGGGCGGTCCCTATATCAACAATGGAAACTGGAGCCACAGGTCATGAATAAATTGAATAGAAATGAAAATGAAAGTCGGAGTGGACCAGAACAAAAGTATGTGAAGTGTATAGCGCGGTGCAAGTTGTTCTTTTCCATGGAAGAGGATCCAAACTAATGGAAAGATCGTGAGACTGGGTCTAACGCGGGTTCACTCGTGAGCGAGAACGAGATCGATCCATACGGCGGCTGAGGGCGGCGCGAGGCACGGTAGTGATCCGAAAGATGTCATCAGTCGCGTCAGAACCAGTGGTATCGAAAGGGTTCGCGGTAGCCAAGGGTGTATGAGAAGTTGAAGTCGTAGTCCGGGTAGAGAACGATGAAGTCGGTGGGAAGATGCGGGGGTCCGGAAAAGACGTGCGCCCTCTGAGTTCGGCTGCTAACTGAGCTGAATCAAATCGTGCGGCATGCATCAAGCCAAAGGTGGTCAACAACTCCAAAGTGTAATGAAGAGCAGTGTAGATGACCTGCCGTGTCTGAAGGATGCTGGCTTCCAAACCCCGAAGTTGTACTTGAAGATGAGGACAAGTGACACATGTCAGAAACGAAGGATCCAACATGGCAAATGGGTGAACGAAGAACATGGAGGATAAGGTTCAAAGATGCATGTACATGAAGGATTTCACGATGTAGCATAGCCTGGGCCACCATAGGGATGCCCTCCATCGGTGCCAAGCCCGCGGGGGAAGTGGGCATGGGAGTGGGAGAGCTCATCACTCTGAAAAGCTAAGGTACCGACAGACTCCAATGAGTCTAAAAGAACTTCGGTCGCTCTGACCACGTTGAGGCGTTAAGCCAGCTTGGACCGCTGCGGTCACGTAAAGGCATGAGCCATCTTAGAATTCAATAATCCGACAAGTCTTGGCAAATAACTTTGGCATAAGCCTGCTGCTGTCCGCTCCGGACACCTACGTTCCCGAAGCCGGGGAACATGGACTAACCCCCGTTAGACGGGTCCACGGGAGGCACTCTTCGGGCTCATCCCGGGCTGGCCGAGGCCAGACACACTTATAGAAATGTGTACTGATGTGAATGCGGTGCCACACGCCAGCCTAAGAAAAACCACCTAAGGTTCCAGGCAGTAAGTTGGAGGCCTCCAAAACCTATGAATACGAGGTCGAACGGCGGCGACATGCAGGGTGACGACGGGTCGTGCAAATCTGAGGGGCCCCAAAAACACTCCAAGGTGAGTCGCTGCTGCATTAGACGCTTACTGCGCAACAAAGAGTGTTCCTCCTTGGCAGTTACGTAGGTTCTTCTCAAAGCAGGTATACGTGGTCCCAGCGTCCCAGGATCATATCAGCCATGGAATGCAGCCCCCTTCGTTGGACAACCAACTGCATCCATGGGGTTGTCCCCCTGCTCAAAATGAAAACGGAGTCAAAAGTAGAATCCAGACGGATCCCTGTGACTACAAGGGGCACACACACAGAGACAGACACACAATGTACACCTACCTGTTTGCACTCTTGCGGGTTAACGGTTATTGTTGTAGTTTGGCGGGCTCAGCTCACATTCGCCCAACGTGTGATCTCGCCAGTTTCTGTCAAAGGCCAAAGTGGTACACCACCAAAGGTACTCCTGGCTTTCCAACCTTTTCTTTTTATTGTCTTTTTCTTTTGTGTCGTCTTCTTCTTCTTCTTCTGAGCTGTGACTGCCCACCTTCATGTCCGGTTGCCATCTTCTCGGCCAGCCCAGCAATCTCCTGCGTCGCCAATGGCTTGTCCTCTTTACTACCTCCATTTCAATTGTGGCCTGGCAGCTGAGTGAGGCACCGCCAATCCTGAGAGTGAGCTGTGTCTGTACCTGAGCAGGATGTTTATCGACGTTTCCAGATGTTTCAGGTCATTTTAGCATGCGTTCTTGATGGCGTTCAATGCGGGGCATCACCTCAGACATGAACCAGCCTTCTGGAAGCTTTAGGTCCAAGGCGCGCGGTATCTCCAAAGGCAGCTTTCGGTGCTCGTGCGCCGGTCTGGACATAATATAGAATAGAATCTAAATTCCCGCAATTATATAAATCATGGAATCCCTGCCAGCGAGGAGGAAATGCAGTGAGCGCCTGCAAATAACCCCACTTGTGCGGGCCTGCGCGTGCCAGTGACCAAGTACCTTCGGGCCTGAGCCAACCACCCCACCCCACCGCACCCCTCGCACCCTCTGCACCTTTTCTTTCCTTTCCTTGCCTTTTTCGTTTGTTTGGTCTTTCCTTCAGACTTGTTAGGTCCGCTTTCAGGCTCGTTTCAGTCAATGCACACCCGGCCCTCCCCGCACCCCCTTGCACCTGTTCTTTTCTTTCCTTGCCTTTTTCGTTTGTCTTGTTCTTTCTTTCATGATTGTTGGGTTGGCTTCGAGGCTCGTTTAGTCAACGCGCGCGCGCGGACCCCGCCCCCCTCCTCCCCCCCCCACCCCACCAATCAGAGTGCGCCAAAAGACGGCCTTTTGTGTGTGTCAACACCTGTTTCTAAGGAATTTGACAACACCAAGGAACCTTTAATTCGATTCCTCGACATGTATGCGTACACCAGCAGGGTGGCAGCAAGGCAGAGAGTCTACCACCAACGAAGACGTTCTCTAAGCCTTGGTGATACTGGGATTGATCATCCCAGCGTATCTGCAAATTTTAATTTGTTCTTCATGTTTCACCTATGTTCAAACATTCCGTTGATCTGACCCAGCACTTTAACTTTCAGTAATGTAAAATGCTAGCATCACAGGGGGATCATCACTGATATTGCTCTTGCGAGCCTTTATCTAAGTGTGTTTGTGTGTGAATGCTGCGTGCCGTGGTTAGCCGGATGATTGATGATGTTGGTCACGCATGGTGTGCCATCTTTGTTGCTTCAAGCGTGCGGCGGACGGCGTTGGTACCATCCGGCTTGATGGAGCCCTGATGAAAAGTGCGTTTGTGTGTGTGTGGCTCCGTCAAAAACTTAAACCACGCATGTGTAGATGGGTATATGCTGCGTGTGGCTGGTGAGCAGCATCATGGGTGGTGCAGTTGAGATGCATGGGACGCATGTTGATCTACAATTAGGTTTTGAGTGGTTTTCTCGTGTTTTTTAGAGTCATATGTCATATCTCATGTTTTTTTTTAAAAAATGTTGCCCCCGGCTTGCCTACGTACTATATACTGCATTGATATTATATATATACTTTTTCTGGAGCTGCTAGTTTTCTACCTTTCTATCCGATTCTATATAAATATTTAGTTTTTGTTTGTTATGGCTATGTGCAAAAACTATTTTTTGGAACAACACACACACTCTCTGTCAGCCCCACTGGCAAGGCAAACGTGTTTGTGTAGAATGTGTTGCTTTTGGATTGCAGAGCAGCTTTGGCCTTGGCCACAATTCACATTGTAGTCAGGACTCTTCTTAAGGTGCCCTGCCTGCTCCACCTGTTTGCACGAAGCTACCTGAGCTGCAGGAGGAAGAAACAGAGGCCAAAGAGGAGGGCGACGAGGCAGCGCGACACAAAGCAAGAGGGCACAATTTAGTCTTGAAGCGGTCAGATTTCAGAAGTGACATGATGTTTAGTTTCTTTCATTGACTGGTCAGCCAGCTAATTTCCACATTGCTTCCCTGTCATATAACCATGTTTTTTTCGAAAACTGTTTGTAGAGGTTGCCTTCTTACTCCATTCTAATCCTCCCTGCTTTCTTATTTTGACATATTCCTCGGTTTGAAGTCCAGTTCTTGCTGATTGTGCATTGTTTCCGAGATCCCTGCGTAATTGTTTTACAAACCACATCCCTCCAATTGAGAAAAACTGGGATGTCGAACGCTGCCATACATTGGTCTCGCGCAATGATCACTTTTTGCCGCACTCGATTGCACCAATGACGCTAGTTGCACCAGTTCTCACATTGGCTACACTGATTGCGCTGTTTCCATACCCCCCCGTGCGTACTCAGTGTAACCAGTGTAGCACCTGCACCAAGAAAAAGACATCACCACTGCCACCCGCCGATGAATTAGTAGCCAGTTGATTGATGCCAATTGAGCTTGTTGCACTTAGTCTACACCTGCCACTTTTGGCTCTAGAAGATTTGTGAGGTCCCAAAATGTGGGATCCCTTTAAGCTTCTTTCTTTGTGACTATGGCCAAGACAAAAAGGACACGTGTTTATTCAATCATTTAAGGTCGCAGGGTCAGTGATGAGGAATTACAGTACTTGAATTGAATCACTTCAGCTGGTTGCACTCCCTCTAGCACACTCTAGCAACCTGTTGTTCATCACAAATACATGTTCTACCTCTACGATCCTTTTGGTGCGTACCGTATCAGTTTTAAACCAGTGCTGTGGCAGGCGAAAAAGTCGCGAAGGAGACGCAGAAAAAAGGATGACCACTTCTTTTCGACGTCTCCATCCAGAGAGGATGGAAACCAGGCGAAACTCCACCGAAGACGGCGCAGAAAGGAGCAAGATCCTGGAGTGCTTGATGACTTGGACATTTAAAACCTAATTGGCAAATGGAGGTTTTGTACATACAACTCGTACGAGACTGCAGAATTGCAGGCCGTGCAAAGCGTGGTGTAGGCTGTTCAGTTTGCTTGCGACCGTGCGGAAAAAATCCTGTACATGATACAATGCCCCGAATCATGACACGCGCTTGGTGAGACAATAAAAGGACACTGTATTGCAATTGTTTCTCATTGTTTTGGAGGACATGGACCCTGCTTCATTGATTGGTTGTCCTAGATCGATATGTTCAAGCTGGAGTTTCCTTCAATAAGTGCATTGCCATGTGTATATATATACAGTATTATATATTGTTATTATATATTATATTACTATATACACATACATACATACTGTAATGTACTGCAAAGGTCAGCGAATTGACATGTAGATTGTTTAAACTTAGATTTTCCTCTATGCGTACGGTTGTGGTCTCTAAAGTTTAGAGTTCTTACCATCTTCGATGGTAAGCGATCAAGATGCATGTTTCGCTGAAAAGCCGGGAACAACAACATTGAACTAAGTCAAACCAACAGTGTGCAAACATTTTGTAGCTGTGGCAATGCAAAAGAATGCGGTGCGCGCTGATGCGGGGCCAGATGTGTGCAGCGACACATGGTTTGCAAATGGGCACGTTTATTTGTTGCCTTTGGACATTATTGATGTCCGGTGTTCAGAGCTCTGAAGGATTGCATCTAATTGTTTCCTTGTAGTTAACCCTTTTGAAACCACTGACTTTGGAATTACGTGAGTGCTTAGGATGGAGACGAACCAGAAGTTCGACGTTTGCGAGAGGTACCAGCTTTCAGTTATCAAGTTTCTTTGAATGGGAGACTCCAACTCAGTTCTGATGATGTTGCCATTCAGACACTGCAAATATTATATAGATAGGTGATAGGGTCGTTCGAAAAAGCCTGCCTCCGCTTAGGTAAAGGAAACCAAATCGACGTTGCGTTGCATCAATTGCGCTTGTGCAATAGAAGGTTTGCAAAGCAAGCTGCCAGACAACCGTTGCCGATAAACTTAATAAACACCAAACACCTTCTCTATGTTTTCTTGGCCCCAATGCCTGCATAGTCAATCAAGAAGACCAACCGAAACAAGCTGACGAGAACCATCGGAATCAAATACGCTTGGGCTCAGAATTCCATTGAGGCGAAACGTAGGTGAAAGGGCGGCGGGAGAACCACTTTGATAGCCAACACCTCAACCAACCCACATGAGTCGTTTTCAAAATTGTCGTCATTTACTTTATACAAGGGCGTTTCATCCAAGAGTGTGATTTGGGTTTTCCTTGGAAAACGATACGGGACATCCAAAAAGGCGCTATCTCTATTGTTACATGCATTAGTTCCTTGAGTTTGTTTGAGTTCATTTTGGTATGTCGTCCTGCTACAGGAACTCTTCTGAGCATTTTTGCTCAAGGGTCTGAAGAGCGTCACCTCATGAACTGGTTTGTTCTTGCAAGCGTCACAGGCAATTACTTGGGTGTGCCTTTTGAGTTGCGGCACTTGCAACTATCTTATTTGGAAGTTATAGAACTTAAGAAAACAACCAAAATAACTTCAAAGTAAGTTCGAAATAACTTCCAATAACTTCAATTTTTGAAAATCCAAGAAACCAGATGGACTATTTTTCAATATTTTTCAAAATCATTGCCGCTCGCTGAGACCAACCTGCTCAGTGCAAAGCGGTGAACATCGCACTTTCATGCCACAACCTGGTGTAAACCCAGCGGTGAACACCGCACTTTCATGTTACAACATGATGTAAACCAGCGGTGAACACCGCACTTTCACGTAACAACATGACGATGTAAACCAGCGGTGAGCACAGCATTTTCACGCAACAACCTGAATAAAACAAGCGGTGAGAACAGAACCCCGTAGGCATCTTGTTTCTGTCACGCGCTATCGGAAAAGGTAGATTTGGCCATCGTCTGCGCATGCGAAAGAGACAGTGACCATGTGCATTAAATTACAATCTCGACAGGAATCAAGACTGCGCGTTCCCAATTGCCCCACAAAATTTGGGGCCATGGTGGTATACGGATGGTATACGGCTGGTATACGGACGGTATACGGTGGTATACGGCTGGGATACTGGCATGGTATACGGATGGTATACGGCTGGAATACGGACGGTATACGGTGGTATACGGCTGGGATCCTGGCATGGTATACGGATGGTATACGGACGGTATACGGTGGTATACGGGTGGCTTCCTGTAATTTGCTGGTTTTTGCGGTCAAAAAGGCGCGAGTTACGCGGGGACCTGCATCACCAGGAGCTTGGGTGTAACTTGAAAAAAGTGAATTTGACATTTCACAATTTTTTCAAGTTTGATTTGCATGTCCTTTCTAAAGGCATCGGCAACCTTGCAGAACTACTTTATATTCTCCGTCTTGAAAACGCAGAGCCAGGCCACCCCGAAATTTGAAGAGTGAGAAATACAATGTTTAAAAGTGAGAGTTACATTTACCGTGTGCTTCACTGGCTTGGCTGCTATAGGTCATGTCTTTAAGCTTCAGTCGGTGCTCTGAAGAAACAAGCCCAGGCAGGCTGTTTATTCACTAGTACACACTCTTTTTTAGTGATGTGGTGAAATGAAATCTGATGCGGAAACTTGAAATGTTAACATTTCCGTTCATCCTGAAACGGTGAAAACCGCAATGAAAATGGCAAGCCAAAAAGTTATGAACTGAGGAGGTTGGTTCAGCGGCGCAACTTTTGCTTCTCAACCAAACAGAAAACCAACAAGTCTTTTGTGAAAAAATAACTTCAAAATAAGTTCAAAATAACTTCCATTAAGTTAGGGGAAATATATTGGAACAAATTCCTAAGTAACTTGTAACTTTCTGCAGAAGTCTTCAGAAGTTACACTACTTCTAGTCTAGTTAGACAGGTTCTGGGCAACATATTGAATTTGCAAGTAAATTACAAATCACTTTTAAGTCCTCCTACTCCAAAGCACACCCAAGTAGGGATTGTGACTGCTCGTGTTTGGAGGGCTGCGTCCTGGCTCTTGACTCAGGCAGTGCCCCATGGGCAAGTCTGCAAAGGTGCAGGCAGGCGTGTGCCTTCTAGTGAAAGAGATCACATCAGCAAACGAGCGGCAGACGCTCGCTGGAGCAGCCCTCCGTTCTGTTGCGTTTCCTCTTCCAGTGTTTGCAGGGGATGCTCTCAGATCATGAATCCGAATAGAGGTTCCTATATTTTGTTGTTTGTGTGTGTGTCACACCCTGGGTCTAAGGGTTTCCACCTGTTTTACCTTTCCACCACCACCAAGACTTTCCATCAACCGCAGGGGG